AAAAAAAAAAGGAGTGTTTCCGTTAATTAACTTGCCACGTCAGCTAAAATTTAACGGAGGGACTAAAAAAGGGCCGGATTTGTGAACAGTAAGGACCAAAAAGGGGATTTTTTCGGGACAGGGACTAAAAAAGGGCTTTTTCCTATAGTAGAGGGACCAAAAAAGGTATTTAACCTTTATTTTGGGTTTGGGTTGAACTTGGGTTTTGTGTCTTTTTTGGATTTTGATTTTGGTTTTTTTTTTTTGGGTTTAAGGCTTAAAATTAAAATGGATTGGAATTGGGCCATTTAAGATGGGTTTAAGGTGTAAATGGGTTTTGGGTTGAACTTTAATGTATTTCACCCTTCAACTTTTCATCTTTTCAATTGGATCCCTCATCCTTCAACTTCTTTCCAATCGTTCACAAAAATCCCCCATTTTACTCATGAACCTAACAAAGCAAACAAAGACAAAACAGATTAGTTAAGAATAAAATAAAATCTTATTAAAAATTTGAGTTATGACATTCTCCACGCCATTTTAAACAATTTTTTGAACTCTTCTTCCCTAGCCATTTCTTTCCTTCTCCTCCATCTTCACTAGACCTTGCCTAACTTAAGCATTGGAGGGCATATAACAGAAATAGCTCTGGCGCCTACCCTAACTAGTTCATCCTTTTTCCCATGCACAAATGACACAAGTGCTCAGAACCTCTTCTAGCTATTCAGGCAACAAAATCACTATTATCAATAGTAATTACTAAATATAAAAAAAAAAAAAAGAAATAGAAAAATACAACCCAACTAAATGAAGCCTAGCAACAATTTCTTTCACATTTTCTCTAATTAAGTGAATCTTTTCAATTACAAGTTTATTGTCCTGTTTAATTGTCAAATAAAAAATAATCCTATTTAATACTTGTGTAAAGTGCGTGTTGTGTTTGGTTGCTAAGGAATCCTAGAAATGTGTGCAAATTGTATAAAGCTAGATTGGCAAAAACCTACTTTTGGCTCTTTACCTTACTAGGTTGGTAGGTTTTAATCCTTTACCTTATACTATGACACTTTTAGCCCTTCACTTATTAGAATTGAAGAAAATAGCATTCATTTTATAATATTTCATTAGTTTTGTTAGCTGATTATTAACTCTTTTAGCTAAAAGTAAGTTTTGTCAACTAACAATCAATTAATGGTCAACTAATAGAGTTAAAGGTGGCTAACAGAATAGTTTTGTTAATTAACGATTAACTCTATTAGATAAAAATATTAGTTGAAAATAAGTTTTTGTTAGCTAATAATCAGTTAATAGAGTTAACAATCAGTTAACAAAACTAATAAAATGTTATAAGTGAAGGCTATTTTCTTTAATTCTAATAGATAAGGGGCTAAAAGTATCATAATATAAGGTGAGGGGTTAAAACTTATAAATCTAGTAAGGTAAAGGGCTTAAAGTAGGTTTTTGCCAATTAAATTTAGCTATTAAAATTTTGTTCAACAAATGGGAAATGGTCAAGGCAACAAATTAAAAGTGTTAAAGCCATACAAATGTTATTGTCGTTGTTATTATTTTTATTTTTTTTAAAATAGTTAATTATGATATTTAAAAATAGTATATAAACTAATTTTAATCTGATAAATAATAAATATAAATTATTTTATTACTTATTTATTAACTAAAAGTTATAATTATTAATTATTTTTAATAGTCAAATTAAATAGAATCAATTTTTTAAAAAATAAAATTTTAAAATGAATGTGACTCCAAAATGTGTAGTGTGGTCAAAAAAATATATTTTTAACATATATTTAACTATATTAAATTTTATGTAAAAATTAAATTAGTTATTCCCATAAATTATATAGATATTATTATAGATATACAGAGACCCCAAGGAACTCAATTTCTTGAATGGACTATAAATTTCACCATATATTTAGATGGAGAAAAATAAAAGATTAGGGAAAGAAAACAAGAATTTTTTAATTAATTAAATTATAAAATTTTTTAAATATTATAATCTAATTAATTAAAAAATTCTCTCATTTCCTTCCATGTCCTTCCCTTCCCACACCTAAACGTTCCATTAGTTCGATACTAATCTGTACTAAGTTTGGCTTGGCCTTTATTTATTTATTTGGGTAAAAATTGGCTTCACGTTTCAACAACCTTACTCTCGGGAGATCCAAATTCCAAGGTCGTGTTTTTAGGCTGCAAAGAACAAGAAGGTTGGAACTCCACCAAGTGATTTATGGGTCGCGCTCCTCGCGCTCCTCATGCTCCTCGCACTAATGAGGGAAGTGAAATATTTATTAATTTTGGGAATCGAAACTTCAGTTACCAATATTTAACAAAATTAATTTATTAATCATTGCTTTTATAAAAAATAAAATAATAAAAAAAAAAAGAACAAGAAGCTTGAGCCGCTGGAAATAACAAATGCCCCAAATCAGATATTCATATTCTCATTTATCAATTAATTATTTTAATACTTACTCTTTGCATGAGTGTTTATGGTAAAAAAGTAACAAACAATTTTTATCCTAAAATTTATAAAAACAAGACTTTGAAATAAAATAAAAATTAAATTCCTTCTAAACTTTTTAGTTGTTTATATTAATGAAAAAATTATATAAATATTTATCATGAATTTTATTATAGATGCATTTTGTGACTGAAAAGGAGACTTAACAGTTTACTTTAGTTTTACTATAAAAGAAATAATTATGAAACATTATTTATTTTATGTATTAAAAGTTTTTTTGACTTCAAAATTTCGCCTTTCTAGCATGAATTCCTAACTCTGTCCCTAAAAGGAACAAAAGCTTCCTATGCCTGACTCACACACAATATTCAAGTGCATGCCAACAGGTTGAAATTTAAAAGGGTTTTAATATGGACATTCACAAAATTGACCATTCTAATCATCCCCAATCATCAAAGCCAAAAACTAATACTAAAATCTCTTAAACAATATTCAATTTACATTACCTAATTAATTACTTAAATATATGAACAAATTAATTGAATATTTGATTGAATATATAAACAAATTAGATATTCTATACAAGTCAAAAACCAAAATATTGAAATTTTCACAAGCCTAACTCCATACGAAGTATGGTAAATGCAATGGATCAATTAAAGCAAATTTTGCAACAACACAACCGGCTACCCCTCAAATTTAGAAATCACGTCAACGGAAAAGTGTAGAAGAAGAAAATTTGAAGAAAATGTGCAAATAAGATACAAAACTTGACAAATTTGGCATCCCTTTCTACAATCTTTCTTAGAAATCTTATATTGTCAGAGACCTTAGGTTTTCTTGACTGTGAGAAAATTTATAGAAGGTTGTGCGTGCCAAAAGAGAAATCACACTTAGGATCCATTTAGTATAACGATTTTGGAATAATGGTTAGTAACTTTATCTAAATCACTAAGGATAAATGTTTAATAAATTTGTATATTTTAAAATCGTTGCAAATAAAATATTTGGTAAAATTTTTATTTAGCAATTTGGAACTAGCGGATGACTGTTAGAATTCAAATTGCTAGTGGATTAAAAAAAACTAGTTTAGGTAACTTGTTGTATTAAACCGCTAGCAAATTAGAATTTTTTGAATTTATTGACAAATTTATCCATTTTAATTTTTTATTTTTTAGCTATAGTTTTTAATTAATATTTATCTAATAAGTTTCAATTATGTTTTTTTACCTTTAATAACATTAAGTGATTATTATAGTTTTATTTTTTATATTAATTTATCATTAAAAAATATTAATATTAAATAATAACCGTTAACTATTGTATAATCAAACAGTTATATGTATTAAATCTGTTATTTACTATTCATTACTCACTTTCTGTCATTTGCCTTATGCCATCTACCTTCTGCCATCTACCTTCTGCCATCCGCCATCTATCATCTGCCATCCGTTATCCATATCTGCCAACTGCTAACCGTCAACCGCCATCCGCTACCTATCACCCGTTAGTCGCTACTACTATTCATTATTTGTTATTTATTACTTGCTATTTATTGAATTTTGATCGTTATATGAAACAAGCCTTTAAACTTATATTTTATACTAATTATTTTTTGAGTAAATTTGTTATAATAATTTAAGATTTTGAATTTACTAACGATTTAGGATAAAAAACTACTTTTAGGAGTTTTTTCAATCTATTAGTAGATTGGATTATAACCAATTACCACCACTATCAAATTGTAAAATAAAAAATTTTACCAAATACCAAATATGTAGCAATTTGTAGGAAAAAAATTATCAAACACATTTATTTAGCAATTTTTTTGATACTGAACTCTTGATATTTACAAATTATATTAAATTTCAATTAATTTAAAATTAAATTGAGTCAGAACTATAAAAAACAACTATCTTAATATATGTTTCTTTATTTATAAAAGTCAAAATTAAGATTTTATTTGAAGAAAATTAAGTTGTTTTTATTTGAATCAACATATGGTGGATCCTTTATTTAGCAACTCAGACAACTACAAACAGCAAATCCAAACTACCGTACCAACGAGCCGCTTGCTAAAATTGGCTTCACGTTTTGACGACCCTACACCAAGGAGATCCAAATTCCAAGGCCTAGCTTCTCGGCTTCAGAACAGAAAGGTTGGGCCGCTGGAAATAGAAAAAGCCCAAATCGCATGATAATGGGTTTTCGGCACAACCGACCCTAGAACTACTTGGACGCAGTGGCTTCTGGACCTTCGCCTTGGAATTTGCCTTTACCTCAACTGTGTTTCGAAATCGGGGTTTTACAAGAGTTTCATTGTATTGGTTACGCAAGTAATTTTTCGCTTCGCACACAAATACAATTGTACAATTTCAGGGGAAAGTTGTTGAATCTTTTGATTTTGCTCCTGGGTTCAAGGTTAAAGATTGCAATGGAAGGAGACGGAGAGCAGCTAACAGAGCAGGAGACTGCTCTCTATGATCGCCAGATTAGGGTTTGGGGTGCTGATGCTCAACGAAGGTGTTGTACCCTTTTCATACTTGTTCCTTGAATTTCTCTTTTTAATAGCTCATTTTTAGGAATTTGTATAGCTGATACTTCTTGCATGTTTTAGACTGAGCAAATCTCATATACTGGTCCATGGAATGAAGGGAACTGTTGCTGAGGTAAGAACTTGAACGGGTTGCCTTTTAAAAGCTCTCCAATTTTAAAATTTTGTGTAGACTGAGATGCGTATAATTTTTTGGGTATGGATAGTTTTGCAAGAACATTGTGCTAGCAGGAGTTGGAAGTGTTACGTTGGTGGATGATCGGGTAGTGTCTGAAGAAGCATTGTCTGCCAATTTCTTGATACCTCCTGATGAAAATGTGCGCGGCGGAAAAACTCTTGCGGAGATTTGTTGTGATTCTTTGAAGGAATTCAACCCCATGGTTCAAGTTTCTGTAGAAAAAGGTTGGCCCTCTTTGAGACATGTTGATTATGTTTTTAACTTGCTTAGCTGCTTGACATAAGAAAAAAGTTGTGATGAAGTTTATGAATTTTGTGCCATGGGTTTGAAGGTCTTTTTGTCCATCAACATGGATTTATGGGTTTGAAGTTGAATATGCTTTATTCTTGTTCTAAGTAGAAACAGGCTAATCTCTTGGTATTCTACTTGTTTGTGACAGACATATATTCCTGGGGTTAAAATCTGGGCATTTCCCTATCCAGGACACCCTTTGGTCTATATAGAAAAAGTAGTGGGAAAATGTTCATTGAGATTAAATTATTTTCTTGGGTTTCAGGCAATATTTCAACATTTGGTGGAGATTTCTTGGAGAAATTTGATGTTGTAGTTCTCAGTTCTTGCTCTCTAGAGGAAAAGGTACAATTTAACATCATTCTTAATGGATGATTTTTCACTTTAAAATATTCACTTTTAATTTAAAGCATTCACCTTTATTTCCGTTTTCCCTCAAAATTTCTCTGGAAATGCTGCTTTCATCTCAGAAATTGATCAATCAGAAATGCCGGAAGTTATCAAAGCGAATAGCATTTTATACAGTTGATTGTAGAGACTCCTCAGGTGAAATTTTTGTTGATCTACAGAACTATAAATACTCAAAGGTAACCTTATTACTTGTTCAACCGTTTTCTGGGTCTTTAGTAGCTTTCCACTCCATATCTTTGGACTGTATTATCTGCTCTGTCTGATCTCGTAGGTTTCCCCAAAATCAAACTACCCTTTTCCTTTTCTTTTTTTTTTTTGTACTTCCCATCTTTGAATTCGTTTTTCTTTATTCCCTTGTCTATAGGAGATCCTTTCTTTTTACTTGGATCCATCCCCTCGGTTGTATGTTTTGTATCTCAAATGACACTACATCTAAAATCCTCTCTTTGCTATTATACTGAGATTAGATTGAAAAAGAAAATATGATTTGGAGTTACAAAAGTCAAATTTCAGAACAAAACAGAACCTTTCAGTATTGACTACAAATTTATGAAATATTCTCGGTTTTATTTTTTGGTATGTCAAATGATGGGTTATACACTAGGGGATTGCCCTCCCCACCCATCCCAAGATTTGAACTTGAGACCTCCAACACAGAGGCTCAAGTTCGTAACCACTTGGGCATCCCCTAGGTTCAACTACTCTTGGATTTGTATTGGCTATCTTTGCTTAACTTCTTATCTTTACATAATGATGAAATAAAAAAAAAAGAAAGAAAGAAAAAGAAGCAAAACTGATCAGTAATTTAAAAAAGAAAATTCTAATTTTCAATTTTAACAACAATTGGAGTATAAGTAAACCTAAGCTCATAAGCTGTTATACCACTGTTTATCTAATGGGGCTTTTTATCCATTTACACAACGGCCATATAGAATTGGAAAGAAACTATCGTGTTTCAATTTTGTGCCAAGTTGTGACTAGTGAGACATTGCTAAATGACTACTTTTGTGTTTGTTTAAGGGCCTGTTTGGTATAGCAGTTTGGGGGTGGCCATTAGCAGTTTTTTCCAAACCACTTAAGAGTAGGTGTTTAGTAAACTTATTTATTTCAAAATTGTTACAAACTACATGTTTGGTAAAACTTTTTATTTAGTGGTTTGGAACTAGTGCATGGTGGTCAGGGTCCAAACCGCTAACAAATTGAAAAAGTTATCTAAAGTAGCTTTTTGTACCAAACTGCTAGCGGATTAGAATATTTTAATTTTATTGATAAATTTATCCTTTTTAATTTTTTAATTTTTGGCCACTGTTTTTAATTAATACTTATCTAATTAGTTTCAAATTTGTTTTTTGTCTTTAATAATACGAAGTGATTATTATATTTTTATTTTTACATTAATTTATCATAAAAAAATATATTAACTTAATAAACAAAATTTGCTAATTAGACTAAAGGATTAAAATTTTTTGTGCTTTATTTAAAACTAATATAATTTTTTCTTTATTAAAAATAAAAATTAGTCTATGACTACACTATTATAATTTATTTTATATATATTTATTTATTATTTTTATAAAGTTAATAATTTTAATAATAAAAAAGTACACTTAATTATTTTTAAACATATCCTTATTAGTCATTTAATTTTCAACAATAATCGTTAATTATTGTATAACTAAATAGTTATATTAATTAAATTTTCTATTTATGATTAGCTACTTGCTTTCTGCTACCCGCTACCGCCATCCACTACCCACTAACTACTACCCATGAACTACTACCTACTATCCATTATTCGCTACCTGTTGACTGCCATCTGTTATCTGCTATCCGTTATCTGCTGTTTACTATCCGCTGGATTTTAACTGCTATACCAAACAGGCCCTAAGCCTTGTTGTTGGATGTTTTTTTCGATAAATCATATCTAATGGTTAAAACTTAAAATCTAATGATAAAATATATAATTTTGGTTTGGTAGTTTTAAGTAGAATGCTAATCTCCCTATGTACTTTTGCATGGGATGTATTGTGGCCATATTATTATTATTATTATTATTCTTATTATTTTTTGAGCCATCTGTTTCAGTTTTAAGTATCTTGCTTCTTGACAGCTCCAGTAAGCCTTCGTTCTCTTTTTTATTTCTTCACAGAAAAAAAATGAAGAAACAACCAACTGCCAACTAGAGTACCCAAGCTTTGAGGTATGATTTGTTTTGCTGCTATTTGAACAACTTTTGTCCCAATTTGGTCATTGTGTACCCATTACATGGGAATAAAATGAACAAGGAGTTGAGTAAACTAGGAATAGTTTATGCTTATTAGTAGAACTTAGTTTTTTTGTTATTAACTGGAGATAATATTTTACTTGCTAAACATATGGATAGCAATTTCCTTTACCAGCTTATTCTTACTAGTGAAAAAAATATATATTTGTCATAGGCATTTTCCTATTTTATTCATCATCATAGAATTCCACTTTTACCCCTTACAACAGCCACTTTCTAAACCAAACATGATCCTGAAGAATTCATTTCTTTTCTGAGATCCGTAAATATGAATATGATACTCATGTATCCTTAGAACATCATTCCATTCCCTAATTCCCATGATATTAATTTGTGTTAATATGTAATCCAAACATATTTTTAGTACATTTTTTTTTTCATTGCAGGAAGCAATTTCAGTACCTTGGACATCACTTCCAAGGAAAGTGTCAAAGCTATACTTTGCCATGAGAGGTATTCTAAATAACATAATTATGCTCTTTCAAACAATTTGAAGGCAGGAAGAAGGGGATAATAAGTGATTTTAGTAGGTAGATTAGAAAAGGTAGAGATTCTGATTACCATATGCTCCTTGGGTGCGTCTAGATTGCTCTTATCTGCAAAAGCAGATGGGCCTTCTGTTTAATTTCTATTTTGGGCTGGAAACTAATTTATTCATTTCCACACTCCCTCCCACCCTCAAGAGAGAGATGATGATGACAATACCTAATATGCAGCCTTAAATTTATTTCTGATTTAAAGCTGAGCTGGGGGATGTATATGATGTGGTTTTTATCTTATACTATTTTAAGATCAGTGAAGATATCCATTTTCCCTTTGATGAAATTTAATCATAGGAATTTATTTGACATTTTACAGTAATAGAGCGTTTTGAAGAAGTTGAAGGCCGCAATCCTGGAGAAATCTCAGTTGCAGATCTTCCTGGTGTCTTAAAGCTGAAAAGGGAACTTTGTGAGGCAAATGTATGGTACTTGGGATTTATAGCCTGCATAAGATAGTGCTTTTTATCTTCTTACAGATACTTTATTGATTGTTGCAGTCATTTAATGAATCTCATATTCCTGATGCACTGCTGGAAAGACTGCTAAAGGGTAAAAGGGAGTTCCCTCCAGTCTGTGCCATCATTGGAGGAATTCTGGGACAGGTTCATTTCTACCCCATTTTCGGCTGTCCTTGTTTTAAAAATTTTATTGCTTCATTTTGATGGTTGACTGCGAAACTGTTCAGGAGGTGATCAAAGCGATATCAGGCAAAGGGGATCCACTAAAGAATTTCTTTTTCTTTGATGCCATGGACGGGAAAGGCTTAATAGAGGACATATCAAATCCTAACACTAAAACTGAGTAGCTTTATTCAGGGAGCATGTGGGAAGTTTATTTTGTGTAGTTGTTACCCTGTACTGCTTCGCACGAAACTTCACTTGCGGATGTAGTTTTATAGGATTGACCATGACCATCTACACTTGAATTATTACTCTTGTTTTTGCATTGGCTAGAATTAACATTTTTATTGTATCTTGAGAGCAATTTATTATATTTGTATGTTTCTCATTAAAGAATTGGAAATGCTTTATTTTCAATCGTTACACACTGCATACTTGAAAATTTGCCGGTGTTTTCTTTTGGCCCAGCTATCATTAACTGCGTGGGACAGCTTATGTTTATTATGATGGAAAAACGGTCTCCGTTTTGTTGCAGACGGTAAGATTAGGACTGTCGAAAGGGGATACGTCCCTTAACATTGGGTCCTCCTCTTCCCTTTTAATGGCTTTAATCTTACCGTCTATTACAGGACGGATCCTAAGATAGGAGACCCTTATGACAATTGAAAGTTGTTTTAGTTTATCCACATCTCATCATGGTAAATTGAAAATTCGATAATGATCATACCCATTATCGTTACGTCAAACACTCTAGGATGTCATTTTATTCATAAAAACATTCTTAAGGGATGCGTAAATGGTTAGAATTTAAATGATTTAAGGTTACAATTTAAATTACAATGAAGTTAAAAATATGTTCAATTCGAAGGAAGAAGAAATAAAAGATAGATTTTTTTAGCCAATTTAATTATATTATTTATAAATATTATAATTTAACTAATTAAAAATTTCATTCGTCCTCTCTCCTTTATTTTTTTTGGACATATTCTGAAGATTGATTTTAATCAGGTCATTAATAAAAAATAAAAAAAGTGAATTAAAAGTGAAGTGGGATTCAATTTCAAACTTATAATTTACCAACTTTAAATGTACGAACAGTTAATTAATATCCTGATATTTTATTCTCCTAAAGAGTGATTTGAATCCTAGGCAGATACAAAATCCGTCGACCAAAAATCAAAATTCAAAAACTGTGTTAAATCAGGACGTGGGCGGTTTATCCCGCTTTTATCTCATCCCAATCCCATTCAAACTAGAACAAAGGTCTCACCCCAAGTCCATTATTAAGAAACCCCACACAAAAGCGCCCTGTGCGTCATGATGAAGGAAAGCCAAAATGAAAAGAAAACACCTTTCATGGATTTACAAAAAGGCGATGATCAGAAACTGCATCGCCTTTTCAAGAGTTCGGAGCAAGAATGGGACTCCATAAAACGGTCCAGACCAAGAACACTCCGTGGAAGTTCCGCAGATTCTTGCTCCATCTTTAAAGCCCTCCAACTGCTCGACGATTCTCCCAAAAGTCTCATGTCTTCGCTTCAAAAGGGAAGACGGTCTCATCCATCGGAGGGGTTGACGAAATGGAAAGTGAGGAACAATGACCTGGCAGCGCTGGAGATTCTCAGGGAGAGAAGAGCGGCGGTTGAAAGCGGTAACTTGAAGGGACGTCGGCTTTTCGAGGAAGTGGAGGATGTAACAGAGGTGGAATTCGGAGATGGAACGTGCAGTGGCTGTTGGGATATTGGAATTGTCCCACCAGAGAGCGAGGTGAGGTCAATTGTTTCTTTTGATTCGGATGATGATGATGATGATGCAGAGAATGAGAATGAGAAAGAAAATGAAAATGGGGATGGAAAGGAGTTTTTCTGCCCTCTGTGTTGTCAATATGGTTCCAATTCATCATCCTCTTCTTCTTCTCCTCCTGTTTTGCACTCTGAGAATGCAGAGGAAGAACCTACCGTGCCGATTGCAGTAGAGAGGAGGAGGAGAAAAACATCGGGGAATGCCATGCTTTTTTCGCTTGTTGTTTTGCTAGTGGTGGGATTTTGTTTTATTATGAGTAGAAAATCTGGTGGATACGTGGGTGGGGAGGTAATTCTCGTGCCCACATGAACATGAAATTTCTGTTTTATTAACTTCAAATCAGATCCATTCTTGGGTAGAGCCTGCCGACGTCGTGGTGTGGCGAAGAAGGGTATTTCTTCATGTATTTCTCAGGGATTAAATTGTTCGTTGACATTCGAATTTTAAGAGTACTTATGCATAAAAAAGAAAGAAGTTGATTACTAATTAATTTGAATGGAAAAGAAGAGTGTTTTAATTTATTAAGCTTGTTCCTACATCAGCACTCATTAATACTAATTATATGTTCGAGTTGAATGGAAGGGAATGGACGGGAGTAGAGGGGAGGGCAAAATATTTTATTTAATTGATCAAAAAATTTTCTCTTCCCTTCTATTCTTTCAATCCAAACATACCATAAGAGTCTTAAGGGGAAATAGGGGAGAATCTTGCCTAGAAACAAGCTACTTGGTACCCTCATAGAACAAGCTACTATTTATTTGACACGGCTAACATGTGATGACAATTTGATACTAGAGCAATTCGGTTCCTCATTCCATATCACGATTGAACAGCAGAGCCCTAGGCAAAGAGAAATTTTAGGCCTTACTTCTATAACTTGTAAGAATTACTTAATAACCTAGTATTTCGAGTTAAGGTTGAACTTGCGATGCGACATAATAGTATCAGTATGTACCTAAATTATTGTATATATTAGTATGTACCTTCCGCAGCCTTTTGGCAAAGACACTCAAACTATAGTCACGGTTATCAATTACGCTATCAAAATGGTGCAAGCTACTTAACTCAGGAAAGTTGTAGAAGGGATAGAAGACTAGATGATTATTACTTATAGTCTCTGAACGCAATTTTGTTTATGCTTCGAACAGAATAGGTTCTGCACTAGAGAAAAGAACTAAAAGTGTTAAATTAGACGAGCAGATTCATTCACCTTTTCGTTCTTCTGCAAAAAAAAAAAATATCGTCTTTGCAGTCTCTGCAAAATTTAGGAAGTCATTATTGTTCTTGTTTTGTTAAGGTTGCATTTGTCTAAGGATTATTTCGAAATTTTGATGAGCTGCAAACTCCTCGGCTGGGTGTGTGTGGGTGCCTTCGTAGGTCGTCACCACAACTTCTTCGTCCTTGGAATTGCGTTGGATTTGCTTCTTAACATTGCATCCTTTGTGCGTACACCTGTAATAACTTCTGCAAAAGAAATATTGAACTCATTGGTTTGGATGACGATTTGATTTTAACGAACTTTGGCAAATTTGGGTACTTAGTTGATGTTGAGCCTGATAGCCCTTATGTTCATCTCTAAAGCCTTTTTATGTAAAATACAAACTCTATTAAATTTGAAATTAATAGTAGACCATTTAATTTTTTATGTTATAAATCTCAAATTCAAATCATGAGATGAGTGAGGAAGAATTTGAAAAGAAAATAGCTATCTCTTATTGTACAGTCTATCATCTAGTGTACTAAAAAAAAAAAACCCTAATGAATATCATGCATGCACTCTATTTATCTTCCAATGAATACAAGCATATCCCTTGATTAATTTTTACTTAATATTAGATTATAGTAGATACAGTGATTTAATTCATTGTCATCAAAACTTAAATAATTTAATAATAATTTTTTTAGTAAAAAGAAAAAGTTTAGAGTTTAAATTGGATGACATGTGAAAGGGGTAGGTATAAGTAATAGAAGATAGGTGATTCCTATTGTACAACAAGAGATCAAAAAAAAAAATAAAAAAATCAGTGTCCATTTAAACTTATCAATTGATTGATGTAGATATGAAAAAATTAATGAAGATGATGAAGAAATAATGTATAGAAACCTGGGGAAAGTGCTATCTTTCACTGTTTTCTGGCCGTACTTCCTCCATCTATACCCATCATCAAGGATATCAACCCTGCTCCTTGTCTGAAATGCAAATTTCTGCTTTCTGCTCTCATTATGCTCTTCTAATTTCTTTCCTGTAGATTTCACCTTCCCATCACGGTCCTCAGAAATATTTTTTGCACCCAAACATTGATATTCAGCTTCCAATTTCTTTCTCTTTCCTTCATCACCATGAGAATTAGTCTGAATCTCATGGTTTGGTAGGGATGGGTGAAGGAAAGGTAAAGAATGGTTCTCCATGGAAGTAATTAGAAAAAATGAGATTAAACTATTAATATGACGATGGCCAGGAAAGAAAAAAAAAAAAAAAACCTTCTAATATGATGAAGAAAAAGGCATGAAATACATGCGTGGAAAAAGTGGGCAGCGTAGTGGCCAACGTTCAATGTCATTTTCTAGCAGAGAAAATAGATGCATGAATGACGATATTCATGCATTTGCTCTCTAAAGAGCAGGAAACTTTATCCCGTCGACGGCACGTAATCTGATGAGAATGGCATTTTTAAAACATCAAACTCATGAAGGTGACGTTCTGATGTAGTTTCTAAGTAGCTAGAGGGAAGTGGGAAAATGTGTTCCAGATCAAATATAACCCGAGGTATGTTTTTGCAGGTTTTTCTTGGTGACCTTGGGTTGGACATGGTATGGTTATGGGCGCATAAAAGAATGTTGAGACTAGACAAAATTATACTATTGTGTGTTTGATTTGATTTTTAGAAACAATTAATAGTTATAATTATTAATTAATAACTTATAAAATAATTAATATCTATTATTTAACCATTTAAAATCAATTTATATACTGATATTAATTTTTAAATATCTTAACCAATTACAAATTGATAAAATCAATCAAATTAAATAAATTCAATTTTCTCGTGTGGCATTGATATTCTATTGTGTGACAATGACCATGGTGACTTTAGTGTGCTTGCTTTTGAAGTCTTTTTTATCCTTTTCCATTCACTCAACTTTACTTGTTTTTTCTCATCCTCGGCTTCCTGTTCCTTTTTGTCTCTCTCTTTATTTATGAAAAATAGAGATATTCTATTAATTAAAAGAGATTACATATGAATCCTTAGATGAAGGCACCTAAAACTAAGTTGAAACTATAATATGTAGCACTAAATATAGATGAAAGCTACCATATAATGAATAAGAACAATTAAGTGTTGAGAGCTACCTATACATAAAGATTGCTGTGACAATTACTATAGTGACATGTACAATACTACAAAAGTAGCAAGAAAGTCAGTGTGTGTTCGAAGTTGTTAGACTTCCTCAACTGCCATGTCACGGTTCAGAGAGACCAACTAATCTAGCAAACAATAGTCCCCACTCATTGAATGCTGAAGGAGGATCTGCACTAGCTTGGAGGAGAGTTGAAGTCTCATTGACCACCCAAGCCATGCTCAAATTAACTCAGGATAGAGTCACCACCACACTGTCATACTCTTCAAACTTGAGATAAGACTCAATGAAAACCGTTGAGAGTCTACGTAAAATCCCTCACAAAAGGGGTGAAACTCCCACAAAGGAGAGAAAACCCTCAAAGAGGAAGAAACTCTTACTTTTATTCATCCTCCCTAACCATGCACGAAGCGGAGAGATGCAGCAACTAAAGAGGAAAAGGAAGAAATAAAGGCAGCAGTGTCGATGAGGGAAAAAGAGAGAGAGAGAGAGAGGTGCTAGGATTCTCTTCCATAATCATGGGTTTAATTTTAGTTTTATGCAAAAATGGAATTTAATCAATAATCTTTCTAGAAAGAATTAATAGTAATTTACATATTAAAATAATAATTTTAAATATATTAGTGAATACAACGCGGTATCTATTTTGACACAAGCTTTTTTTTTTTCTTTGGCCGAATTGATACATGCATTCTTTAATAATTTTTGCCAAATCAACTTTTTCATTTTGACGGTGAAATTTATTGGGATTAATTGTTGACAAGGCAAATGATAAAAAAAAATTGGTGATAAAGCCAAGTCTACTTTTGAAAGTGCCACATTAGCATCTAGCATACAAGAGGGATCCACAATGCACATTCTCTCGTTAGACTGGATGGAAAAGCAACGTAACCACTCGGAGGACTCTTTTTTCACACTTGTGGGTTTGAAGGGTTGATCTTCTACAAGAAAAAGTTCAAGGGTAAATCTTCACAAACGATGAGCTTAGGGGCTGATAAGCCTTTTTTTAATTTCTTCTTTTCTGAACTTTCATGGACTAATTTTCATTTGTTATTCTCATTTCCTAGAAGGATGTTTTGTTAAGATTTTACGTGTGCAATTTCAATGCCATTTTGGGAACAAGCATTCTTGTATATAATGCCTCGTTTTGTCCCAGTTTATCCTGATGTTCTACCTCGTGTAACTGCACCAAACCGGAAGTCCTTCTTCAGTCCGTATCTGCACTCTAGATTAACTTGCAAAGCCCCGAGGTGGATCCCCGGGATAGACACTCCGATGCTTAAGTCAGCAATAATCGGGGCTACTTTTAAAGAGTAGACATAAGGAGCTTAGGGTTAGTTTCAATTACCTTTTGGCGTGGCCCTTAAGAGGTATTTATATGTTCCGATGTAGAATCCACGCGGCATGTCAATCAAGATGCCAAGCAAGATATCCGGGATCCGATGTGTATCTCCAGGCAGTTATTTCGGGATCGGGAGATTGAGCTAAGCAAAATATCCGGGATGTGATATGTATCTCCAAGCAGTTATTTCGG